TGACGGTGCCGCGCCGGGCTGCGGTGCTGCCGCGGGGGAGAGGCCGCCCCGGCAGCGCTTTGCTCCAGCGAGACCTGCTCAGGGACCGTTAACGGCCCGGGAGAACGTTGGGGGCAAAAGGCGCTCCCTGTAGCCTCTGGGAGAGACGGCGCGGGAGGAAACGGAGCCTCGGGTGGGGGGGTGTGGGGACACTGGGGCAAGACGGGTGGGACGGCAGCGGCGGTAGGAAAGGTCCGTCGCACAGGGACACCAACTGAACAGCTAGAACTTCCTGCTAGAAGCTCAAACCTCAGCCCTTGACTGCCACTGGAGCAGGAGTCCAAATCTAGTACGAAAACCAAGCATACAGAGATGGAATTATTGACTCTTTTTCTCCCTGTTTTGCAGCATGAACGGGACAGACTTGCAAGCAGTTGAAGAAAAACTGGTATGGGAGAGAAAACGTCCCGTTTACAGGACAACATACTCTGTGAATGAAACTTTATTTCATGAGCTCATGAAGAAACACAACAAACCAACAGCGCTCGGTCCCCTTTGCCCAGACTAGGCTATTCACGTGAATTCACTTATTCACCACTCAGGTCTTGAGGTTTCGTAACTTACAACCCGTAACTCTTAATTCGTGCACTTACAAGCAAACAAAAAAGAATTAATTCCCTAGCGGACGGTGAGACTGCTCATCCTTCCTCCTCCGTCACGGTGCGGGCATCCCCCGTATCACTCTGGGAAGCACGAAAGCGTCAGCAGTCCAGCTGCTGTTGGATCCGCTTCAAAGGCTTTTGGGGTAAGCTGATGTTTTTAACCCTCCAGCTAGGAAGCTTGGTCTCTACCATTTCCAAAAGGCAGCAGATTCTGACAAAATGTCATAGCGGTGATGTCCAACAGTTTGTTCAATTTTGGTTGTGATTCTGACAATCCAGCCAGTATCGTGTTTGATAACAATAGTCACTTGGTTTCGGTATGTAATAGGTGTTTCACAGCTGGTGATTAAGGATTCCAGTTCTTCAATTTGAGAGTACACAGTGTCCCGTATTGGCCCTAAGGGTACGGACCAAGTTGTAGGCAAGAATTCCACCAGCATTGATACGAGGTTTGCTTTATGGTTTCTATAAAGTTGTCCACAAGTTTCAGTGCTGTAACATTTCAGAGAGGGACAAGGACCGGTTTCGTCTTCAGATAGGCACGATGATTGATCATCAGTCAACTAAAAGTTCTATAAAGGATTCTAATGATGTTTCCCATGAAGATACGCAAATATATATATTCCCATAAATATATGTATGACCTGTTTGGCCAAAGAAACCATGATTGCGGCTGCCATAAGGAGCAAGTGGTGGCTTCTCGGCAGATTAATTCACTTGCTATTCTGTAGGAAGCCATAATCCACGTAAAGGTAGTTACAGAATTTTGGTTTCCTATGGGATCCTGATTGGTTTGAGTCATCTACCTTGGGTCCAAGCCTTCCTGGTTTACCTAAACAACCAGATCCAGCACATACCAACCCTTTTACAGGAAATAATTACATGATTAAGATGTAGTTGTAGATTATACTGCCCGATTGACACAACTACCTGGATAACACTGGATACGTGGAGAAAGGGCATTCAAGTATTTACCCGCAACCTGAGCTGAAAAGTGTATTCTAGGTGCATTAATGCCATCCGCACAGGTTAGAACCAGTATCTGTTCTGCCTCTGTAGCTCTTAACTGCCGGTATATATGAGAAAAAGCGTTACCACCCTCTGATAGAGTGTGGCACTGAGTTCCACCTGCCTGTAAGAGCTTTTATCCCATGGTTAGGGGCTGTTGGACTACAAAGAGCTATTGCAAATGTGTCAATAGAATTAGAAAAAAGCCACTAATGAAACTGCAGGTAGTATTATGATGCTAAAGGAAAAAAATCAAATTATTATCACAAATGGTAATACAGAATTGATTAGCCATAGACTACCTATTAGCAGCACAGGATGGAGTATGTGCATTATTGCATAACGGCTGCTGGGTTTATGTAAATCCAGACCAGAAAAATGAAACTGATAAAACCAAGATAAAGACACGTTTAAAAGTATTACATGAATTAAGACAGGCATCTCCCCTAAATCTATTTGGGTGGTTAACCTCTTGGGCCCCAGACTTGGGTATAGGACTATGAGCTGAAAGGCTTTTGGTTATTGTATTTGCTTTGTGATTATATATGTGTCTTTGCAGTGTTGTATCTACCTTATGCGCTCGACTTAGTACTAAAATAATGGATAATATAATGTGACACTGACGGTTAAAAGAAAAGGAGGGACTGTTAAGAAAATCCCCTTTCCTACCTATTATAACAATCAGTCTTTATAGTATGAAAGTGTTAATATGTATTAGTTGTCCATATGTATTATGTTGTATTATATACATATTAATATGTATTACGTTGTTAATATATATTCACCTTACACACTGTAATGCAATGAGGTAGTGGAGTTTTACTGGAGACTTTGGTCATGCTTAAGTAAAACAAACTGAAGGGCAGCCCGGCCCTGGAAGGAAGGACTTTGCTTCTTGGAAGCTTAGAGCTGTCCGTGAAGGATAAAGGATACCCCTGGACAACCAAGGTAGCACCCCAACCCCTGTGAAACATCTTTGAAACCCTCCAAGCATCATCTGGCATCATAGATCAGTAACTCCAGAAAGACTGACTCCATGGATGTCTGGATCAATAGGGAAGCAGCAAGAACGCTGCAAAACTGGAGTTGCTTTGCCAAGTTTTACTATGATTAGTAATGGGTAGCGTGGGTGTTAGTGATTAGTCAAGTTGTCGTGTACCTGAACATTTGAAGGGTGTAAGAACCCTGTATAAAACCACATTCAGGGTCCCCCAGTTTGGCTGGGACACAGGAATAAATATTTACCCTTGTAATTCTATACTTTGTGTCCTCGCCTCTCTCCTCAGTCAGCATGGGCCAGTTGTGAATTTTCATGACAGTAAGCCCTGCTCAGCAATAACTAAAACATAGGTGTGTTGTCAATACTGTTGTCATTACAAATCCAGAACATAGCACCATACAAGCTACCATGAAGAAAATTAATTCTATGCCAGCCAAAACCGGCACGCACAGGCACCGTTATAATTAAAGGCACGTACACATGTTCAGTTGCAGATACAGGCATAAAATACATATAATTACAGATACAATTAGAGTCACAGACACCATAACATGCACCATTATAGATGCAAGACAACTCACACAAATCGTTACACGTACAATTGCAGATACAATTACAGATAAAGACACAATGACACGTACAATTGCAGATACAAGCATACATTCCATTACACCTACAACTACAGCTACTGCTCATGGTACCATTACCAACAGAGGTGCCATTAAACAGGTGCTGATCCAAAAGCAATTGAAGATACACATACAGATACCAGTACAGACGCAGATACAGGTACAATTAGACATGCAGGTACCCATGTAGACACCACTACAGATACTGATACCAACGTAGGTAGAGACAGCGATGCTGGTACCATCAGAGATGCTACTGCAGATGCAGATGCCATTGTAGGTGCCACAGCAGACGCAGATACCCCTGCAGATACCCCCCTGCAGAAACACATACAATTTCAGATGCAATTGCAGATGGAGGTGCCATTGGAGATCCAGGTGCCACTCCAGATCATAGAATCATAAAATCATAGAATGGTTTGGGTTGGAAGGGACCTTTAAAGGTCATCTAGCCCAACCCCCGCCCTGCAATGAGCAGGGACATCTTCAACTAGATCAGGTTGCTCAGAGCCCCGTCCAACCTGACCTGGAATGTTTCCAGGGATGGGGCATCTACCACTTCTCTGAGCAACCCGTTCCAGTGTTTCACCACCCTCATCGTAAAAAATGTCTTCCTTATATCTAGTCTAAATCTACCCTCTTTTAGTTTAAAACCATTACCCCTTGTCCTATCACCACAGGCCCTACCAGAAAGTCTGTCCCCATCTTTCTTATGAGTCCCCTTTAAGTATTGAAAGGCCGCAATAAGGTCTCCCCGGAGCCTTCTCTTCTCGAGGCTGAACAACCCCAACTCTCTCAGCCTTTCCTCGTAGGAGAGGTGTTCCATTCTTCTGATCATGTTTGCGGCCTTCCTCTGGACCTGCTCCAACAGGTCCGTGTCTTTCCTGTACTGAGATACCCTGCATGTGCCATTGCAGATGTAGACAAAATTGGAGATGCAGATACCCTTGCAGGTAGAGACAGATGCAGATACCATTTCAGAGGAAGGTTATCTTTGTAGACGCCATTGCAGCTGCAGATAAAATTCAAGATGCAAATGCAGATGGAGATACCTTTGCAGATGCAGATAGCATGGCAGATGA